GCGATCCGTTGCCGGACACGGAAAAAGACAAAAGACAAAAAAAAAAAAAAAAGAAAGAAAGTTAGCCCATTTCGGGCCGGCCCGGTGGCGCACTGCTACAGTGCGCTGCTCGGGAGTGCGGCGGCGCTCCCGCCGAGGGTTCGGATCCCACATACAGACCGGTTCCCGCTCACTGGCTGAGCAAGGGGCAGGCGCAGCACCGAGGGTTGCGATCCCGTTGCCGGTCCCGGTCCGGTACGGGCGCGACACTGAGGGTTGCGGTCCGTTGCCGGACACGAAAAAAGACAAAAAGGAAAAAAAAAAAAAAGAAAGCCCATTTCATACCAGCAGTACAGACCCCCAACAGAAGGAGTGAAGGTGGCTCCATCAACTAGTGCTAGAAGCTTCATAAACTTACAGTGTCTCTTCTTCCCACTGTCAAGATAAGACTGCCAACAGGTTTTCATCCGAAAGCTGACCTTATAGCAACCGTTTCCCTTTGTGTGGGAGGTGGGTGAATCTACACATCCATTTCCTAAATGTTGTCATATAAATGGGTTTTTTTTGTTTTTTTTAAGAAGATGACCGGTAAGGGGATCTTAACCATTGACTTGATTTTGTCAGCACCACGCTCTCCCAAGTGAGCTAACTGGCCATCCCTGTAGAGAGCACTAACATTTATAAAGCAAATGTATTTCACAGGGCCTATTTTCCAAAGCCCTGTAGTCTCAGGTTTAGCCTAACCTTTTGGAATTACATATAGAAATGTTAGCCTTGCAAAAGACAGCAAACTTTCCTCAGGCTAAAGTCTTTGTAAAACAGCAAAGTTGCTGGCTCAAGGACAGACAAGTTACTTGATTGATATGTAAGATACTGGGGAAATTGCTGTAGGGAAAAACAGTATTTGCTAAGATCAAGTTTTTGTTGGTGGATGGCTCAACCTTTTGTAAATTGCACTATGGAATGTCACTTTGCTTCTTTCACTGATGTTTCCAGACTCTATTGTTAAACTATACTTAGTTATAACCCCACCTATGTTCTTTTCCTGTAACTTCCTGGTCTGGAGAATAAATGTGGGGAGAGAACCCTAGTTTGTGGTTAATTTCCCAAGGAAGGAATGCCTCTCTCTTGAGGGCTCTAGGAAATTAACCCCTTTGGGGTTTCTCACTGCTCAGAAGAAATGGGCTTTGAGTAATCTTTTGTGGCTTCTTCACCCAGGGGAAGAGAGGTGATAAATCCATGTGAGGCAAAGCAACACATCCCTATATAGGGATCCGAATCTGCGGCCTTGGTGTTATCAGCACCACACTCTCCCAAGAGAGCCACGGGCCAGCCCCTAAATGGGTTTTTAATAACATCCTTTGAACAAAAGAGCCCCCCAAATCTGGCACGATCAGATGACTTGCATACACTACTGTCTATTAGCTCATTCTGTCTACTGCCCACGAACCCCTGCCTCTGACAACACTGTGTGACTCATCACATAAATGAAGCGCTAATGTGGCTTCTGAAAATCTCCTTCATACCTTTTTCGAGGAATCAAGTGATACCCCATAGAAAGTTCTTGCTGAGTTCCTATGAAGCCTCAGTACCTCTATCAGGTGTTATTTAAGAAAACACAAGTTTAGATAGAATAAATTTAAAAAGTCAAAACTTTGCAGATAACAGACCAAAATAAAGAAGGTGAAGTGGAGAGAAAAAACTTCACATAGACCTTTTTAAAAAGTTCACTACACAGTCTTTTATTTCTAGCTTAAAACAAATATTTAAATTATTAGGGAAATATTTACAGGATTAATGACATTTTAAGTCAGCAGACTGGATGTGAAGGGTGTTTGGTGCCCCTTGTTGGGACAGGATGGGACAGGTCACATGACCTTCCTGAGAGGCCCCAGGTCATTTGCCACAGTCAAGGAGAGAACCAGTCACCTGATGGCCTGGCCCAACCAACAATGAGAGACTATCAGAGATGTGCCATAGCCATTTTGCTAACAAATAATTATATGCCTTTTTAGTGTTTAGAGAAACCTTAATTTTTCTGGGCTACCTCTGTAGAAATTATTCTAGAAACTTGTATGATTTAGAAAATTCTTAGTTTAAAGAAATAGAAAAGCTTGTCTCCTTCATGAGACCCACTGTCTCTCACTAGGCACTGACAACCCTTTTGGAAGTGGGAGTACAGAGTGCTGGTCTCGAAAGTCCAGACAGGAACATCAGCAGCTTCACTGACTCAATGGCCTGTTCCTGGGGCTTGGCAGACTGGACCAGCGCTTTGGCTCAGTGTTTGGAGAACATCTTCTGGCTCCTTTTCTGGAAAGGAAATGATGGACACAGAGTCCCAGGCATCATCATTTTGTGAGCTGTCCTTGTCCAAGGCCTCTAAGACGGGCTGAGCTGGGTCCCTTAAATACTTAAAAAAGTTGAAAACCAAAATCGTCATTAATCAGTTCAATATACCAGACCTTTTACTTTAGTTTTCACCGGTGTAGTTATGTTTTATTCAGGTTATCACTTTATTCTGTCCACCAGTGGAACAGCTTCTAATACTTGAATACCCCTTCACCCTTCATTCCAGTAATAACTTTAATACGAATCCGAGGGCCAACCGTGCTAATATGCTGAAAGTGTAAAAGGGCATAACTCAGGAAAAGCAGGTTCTCGCTTGCTGCTTTCAGTGAAGGACGGTAGATTATTAATCCTAAAACGTCTCTAAAATGGTAACTTTTCAGTGAAGGAGGAAACAGGGTTTCTTGCTTAGCTGTGATGGGGAAGAAGAGGGAGAGCTGACAAGCACTGTTCTCAGCCGCTCCTTCCTACCGGGGTTTCCATGCACAGCAGGCAGAGAGAGGGTCTGGGCGTGAAGCCCTCGGCCTGGTGCAGCCCTGGATGGAGGGTGTGGGGGTGTTAGGAAGCGGAGGTCCTTAATGTATAGGGACGGTTTGCGGCGCTTCACTTTCCCTTTTGCTCCTGCTTAGGCTTTCAGCTTAGCCATAAATTCACCACGCCACCAAGAACCTAGTGCCTAGCTCTTGGAAATGCTGAAAAATACCGAAACACAGCAAGCGTATAGCTGACTGATGAAAAGAGGAGTGAAACTGAATCGTGTGCACTTGTGAAACCTCAGAAATATAAGTGAAACATGATTCATTATTCTCATGCATATTCAGAGAACTTTGGTAGACATTTTTCACATTTTCCCAAAAAAGAGAACTGAAAGACTGTGTTTTAGATTCATGCCCCAGAGGAAATTCAGTTGTTAGGGCCCAGCTGGTAGTTCTACCCTGAGAGAGATTATTATGCAAGTAAAATTCTGAGACCCACTGAGAGCTGTTATTTAGTGACAATATTAACTAGGAGGCTCTAATAGGGAATTTAAGGCTTCTGTAATTCCTATAATTCCTGTGTCCTCTAAATACATCGTGATGGATGAAGGAACAAGAACTATAGTTCTTTTTAGAAGCACCAATGTTTTTACAGACCAGGACCTTGTCTAACATCTATTCATTTTAGATATAACAAAGCAAGATTCTGTTTCTAATATCTTTACTCTGAGTTTACTGAAAAATAATGTAAAACCTCTAGAAGCAAATACTTTTAAATGTTTTTCTCTGGGCCGGCCCGTGGCTCACTCGGGAGAGTGTGGTGCTGAAAACACCAAGGCCCCGGGTTCGGATCCCATATAGGGATGGCCGGTTAGCTCACTGGGTGAGCGTGGTGCTGACAACACCAAGTCAAGGGTTAAGATCTCCTTACCGGTCATCTTTAAAAAAAATAATAATAAAAATAAAAATAAATGTTTTTCTCTGGGCCGGCCCGTGGCTCACTCGGGAGAGTGTGGTGCTGAAAACACCAAGGCCCCGGGTTCGGATCCCATATAGGGATGGCCGGTTAGCTCACTGGGTGAGCGTGGTGCTGACAACACCAAGTCAAGGGTTAAGATCTCCTTACCGGTCATCTTTAAAAAAAATAATAATAAAAATAAAAATAAATGTTTTTCTCTCAGCTAGCCTCTGATCCTAAGAATGTCCTGACCGTGTCCTCAGAAGACCCAACCATCTCCCAGCGCCTCTGGGGCTGGGACTGTGCAGGAAAACAAGACTCCACGAGACCCATCCCACTTTTCTTTCTCAAGTCCTTTATAATATGCTAGTGACATCCTCTGAGCACTTAGTGTACAAGGCCTGGTGCTCACAGCTCTGGGTGTGTTTACTCTTCCCTAGAGTTCTCCCGAGTGCACTGTCTGTCCAAAGCTCATGTATACTCTTGGTTCCTATCTCTCTTTCCTTTATGAAGGTGAATGTCCAGTTTTCGCATCTGCCAGTCCAGCTTTGCTGGGGGCATTCTCCAGAAAGCAGAGGACTGACGTGCTGCCTCAGAGAGGGACCTACTGCAGCCAATCTCCTGGCCATGACAAGCCAGATCACCTTTTTGGTCAACTCAGTGACATTCTTTAAAAAAATTTTTGTGTTGTGATAAAAAAACATAAAATTTACCACGTTAACTATTTCTAAGTGTATAGTTCAGTAGTGTTAAGTACATTCACACTGCTGTGTAACCATCATCACCACCCAATTCCAGACCTCTTTTTATCTTGCAGAACTCAGAACTGAAACTCTGTACACATTGAACAAAAACTCCCTACTTCCCCCTCCCCCAGCCCCTGGCTACCCCATTCTACTTTCTGTCTCTATGAATCTGACTACTCTGGGTATCTCATATAAGTGTAATCAGACAGCATTTGTCCTTTTGTGACTGGTTTGTTCTACTTAGCATAATGTCTTCAAGGTTCATCTATTTTGTAGCAGGTGTGAGAATTTCCTTCCTTTTCAAGGCTGAATAATATTCCATTGTGTATATATACCACATTTTGCTTATCCACTCATCTGCCAATGCACACCTGGGTTGCTTCCATGTTTTAGCTATTGTGAGTAATGCTCCTGTGAACATGGTATGCAAATAACCCTGTACCATTTTTAACTCAGATCTCTGTGTCCATGGCTTTGTCCATTCCTGCACTCTTAGGGGTTTCCAGAGGGTAGTGGAACACTGACGTGTCTGCCACTTAGATGTGTGCACACATACCTCTTCTATTTGTGATGGGATGCTTGGTGGAGAAAGAAACCAGTATTTAACCAGGCCTCTACGTTTCAGGACCAGGGAGAAACAGGCCCCTGACAGTACCAACAGCCCTGAAAAGATCCCCACGGAGATCAGAATGACTTGTTGAAGCTTGGTGGAGGCTAAAAGATGACATAAAAGTGGACAAGATGACCATCACGCACATGACACAAACATCAATTTTTCATCACCCATTGCTTAAGGAGTATTCATGTCCCAGTAAAATGGACAGATCCCTTCCCCCTCCCCACCCCATTTCTTAAATTAATACCTAGTGAAGGCAATCCTGTAATGAAATAAAGCTGATGTTAGCTGTCTGGGTTTTTGCTCTTGTAGATCTCAGCACAAGCTCATTCATTACACCTGCAGTTAGGTGTTTTCTTTTTACCCCCTTCTCTCTGGGGTCTCCCCACTCCCACCACCTGTCACCCAATAAGCATTCCCAAATTTCACTATTTTGGGGGTACAGTATTCTTTTCCCAGCTCAGAAAAGATATAAGAAGGTATATTTTACCGTCTGCTGTTGTTTCATAGCAAGATGTGTTGCTTAAAAGCCCAGGTGTAAGGATATTTTTCATTATCCAAACCAGTTGTGCCTCGACTTGTAAACAGTATACTCTGAAGGGTTTTAAATCATCCAATAAAATGGTGTTCCTCCTGGAATGGTCTTTAAACTATTTAAAAACACAACCACATATAAATCACCCAAATAGACACAGCCCAGCCACTTCTGTCTTTCCCATTGTTTCCTCAAATTCATGGTGAACAATCAAAGAATAACAAGGTGCCGTTTAAAGAGTTCCTGGCTTGGGGTTGACACATTTTACAAGTGAAAGGTGTTGAGTAGCATGATGAACGATGCTGGGGGCTTTACAGCTGTCTTTCTGGTTGTGAGGTCTTGGAGGGCCGACTGCAGCAACTGGAATTCAGCAAATTCCAATTTCTAGGGTAACATTTTCTCCTTTAATATTAACATTTTGCATTTAATGGTTAATCTAGTCTAGACACCTCAAGGGAGTCAAGAAACAGAGAAGAAATTATTCTAAGAAATAATGTTCCTTTAATTCCCAACCTGCTTCTAGTTTAAACTGAAATGTGCTGATTCCTCCTATAGTTTTGGTCAAACTGACCTAGGAACTTATGTCATCAGGAGGCAGTTGGGCCCCCAAACTGGAGGACTTTTGTCCCCTCTCCAGTCTCCTGCTACTGCCCTTGCTTGGGCCTTGTAGCTTCCACACCGGAGTCACTCCAGTCTAAAACCCCTCACTCTCATCCTGGATAAAGTTGTTATTGTTTCATAGGGAAACAAGAAAAAGATATGTTATGGCAACATAGGATTTCTTGTAAAGGATTGTTTTCTAACTTGGAGATACAATAGCATCCACTATAACCACATGAAATGGTGGTACAACATACTTTCAAAAACATGGAAAGACGAAGCTGCTATATTGTTGACTACAATCGAGAAGCTGATCAGAGGGCAGAGAAAATATGCGGCCAGAGCTCCCATCCTGTCTCCTGCATCTCCAGCACCATGTCTGATTCTTCCAGTTGACCCAGATCTTGAGCTCTGATTTGGGGAAATGACTTTCCCCCGCCATTCCCAAAATGCTAAGAATCTGTCCTCCAGTGAGTTTTGCCCCCCACAATGTTTTATACTCACTATAAAGAAGTGAAGAGAAAGTGCAAACCTAAAGTATGTGGCAGAAAAACATGATGGTAAAGAGCAGGGACCCCGAGCCAGATGTCTATGCTTTGCCAGCAGTTAGCTGCTGACCTTGGGCAAGTTACTTAACCAGCTGGTTTCCCTCTCTGTGAAACAAGTTGGTATAAAGATTAAATGAGATGATGTCTCTAAAATGCCGGGCCCACTGCTGAACACGAACAAAGCTTTCGATAAACCTAAGCTTGTATTATTACTAAAAATTATAATAAGTTCACATAGATAATAAAAGCCCATTAAATGCAGCTGGGGTAATTGGGCACTGGAGATGATTTAAGGCCATGTTTTTTCTCTTGTACTACCCAGGGCTGACGAGGCGCCTTTGAGCTGGTGCACCTCTGTCAGACTTATCGCCTGCCACAGCCCCTCACATGGCTTCCATTTCTGACCCATTGCAGTTTTGCACATGTGCCAAGCCTTCTCATACTTGTAAGTACTTCCCCCTGGAATGCTCTTTCTCCTTCCAGTACATTTGCCATCTACTCACATATGCCCTCTTTGCAAACTGTTCAAACCACTCACATAGTTAAAGCTTGCAGACCCTAGTAGTGGATTCCCTGTTGCAGAAACAGGCCCACTAAACCCTCCCCCAATCTCCAGAGTGTGGCAAAGGCATCATGAGCAACGCACCAGCAAAGTCTGGACCCCAAACAACGAGAATGATATAATACCAAAGAAGGGCTTTTCAGATCGATCTTGTGGAGGAAGTGTCAGCCCAGTGAGTAGAAAAATAGATCTTGAAAAGAAGGATCAAAGTAGGCCCAGGGCTCAGACTTTCCAGAGACAATGGGATACCCTGTTCTCCTTGCCCATATTAAAGTTTTCTTTCTTTTGCTAAATCAGAAACTCCAAAGAAAAGAAAATCAAAACAAAGAAGAAAAATGCTCTTGCCTGTTGGCTTCCTGCTTTTTCCCAGTAATGAACATAGTACTCAAAAGTGGCCAAGGAGGAATCGACGTCAAAGGGAGGGGAGAATCTGACGATAAGGGAGCCTTCTCCGCGGGTCACCCAAATGTTTTCTGGAGGCCCGACGGTGACTGAAATAGAATGACAAACACAAAACCATACATATGCATACAGTCACATATATGTGTATTATATATAATATATATATAGTGTGTATATATATAAACACACACATATTTATATCTGTAGATGCAATGAGGTTGCACTCAGATGCACAAGACTATGAGAGGCTGCTCTGGACATGAGATTTACTTGGAAGTAAACCTCCAAGTGGAACATGGGGTCCTTGCAGCAGTCCACATGGTGCTGAGAGCTGGCCCCTCAGGAGACAGCTCAGGAGCGAGAGGCCAGATCACAACGGGCAGGTGTGGGAGCCTCCCTGGCTGAAGGCCCCCTGACCCCTACCTCTTGTAGCAACTCTATAGGAGTTGTTTCTAAGGTCCCAGCAAGAGACATGCCCAGTTACAAGAATCACCGTATTAAGCAGATCCCAGAGATATGGCTATCTACCAGGTATTTAAGATTGTCCCAAATGAGATGCAGTTTACCAAACAGGGGTCATTTGACCATAAGCAATGCTGCCTAGTAACATGGTTGATATGATGCTTTTATCAGATTTCCAGAGTGGATGGTTAACCAAAGTCAACTTTTCATGCAGAGGGGGAGAAGATTTTGTTAGCCACTACCTACTACGTATAAAAATTCCAATATAAACGAGCAAAAGTGGTGTTTAAAAACTTCTAGGTACCTTTGTCTCCTAGCTTCTTGTAATACCGTGTTTGAATATAATAACTGAGAAATGTTGCCATGGAAAGTCTATTTGTTAAAGCTTTTCATATAATTCACAGGTAAGCCAAGGACTCTGACTCAGAAAGGGCTATAGATGAAAGGTCACAGCATTTTTCAAGTAAGCACGTGCACTATAGAATTAACCAGAGAAACTGATCAGAGTACAGGTTGGGTCCTCCAAGTTCTAAGAGGCCTATCTCTCTCTCTTTTTTTTTTTTTCTTTTTTTGACTGGTAAGGGGATTGCAACCCTTGGCACGGTGTGGTCTGCACCACGCTCAGCCAGTGAGTACACCAGCCATCCCTATATAGGATCCGAACCCGCGGCCTCGGTGCTCCCAGCACCGCACTCACCTGACTGGTAAGGGGATTGCAAGGGGATTGCAACCCTTGGCACGGTGTGGTCTGCACCACGCTCAGCCAGTGAGTACACCAGCCATCCCTATATAGGATCCGAACCCGCGGCCTCGGTGCTCCCAGCACCGCACTCACCTGAATGCGCCACAGGGCCGGCCCCACTAAGAGATCTATCTCTACACATTTTGAGCAAGGAGACCATCGTATCACTGTGAACAGTCATGTATTCATTTCCACGCTTTCCCTGGGCACTCCACTCACTATGGTCTGGCCAAGCTTATCAAAGCTTAGTGCAAAAGAACTAGTTCCTACAGGGTTTGCACCTGTGCCCTCTGATTTATTTGCTCTGGTGGAGGCGCTAAGTCCAAACAATGCTGAGACAGAGCAGAGTCAGGGCTAGACCTGGCCCTCTACCAGCCAGAACGCTGTTAGCAGATTGGCTGCTAGTGACAAAAAGCTCTTTCATGAAACCTGCTCACAGACACTGGTACACACATTCTCCAGCTTCCCCTCCCACAGCTCTGTGAGCAGAGCCTGACCTGGCAAACGCTGACCTGCAGGGCCTGACCGCCTCTGCAGGCCTCTTGCCTCTAGGACCCTGACAGGAGAGGTCATGGCCACATGGGCGCCAGCGCCCACTCATCACTTCCTGGGGAAAGGCCAGTGCTCACAGACCTGTCCTTCTGAAGAGAGTCCAGGGTCTGGAATCCGATATCAATCTGAAAAGCCTCATCAAAGTAGGTAGGAAAATACCTACCTTCTCTCAAAGCTCTGTGACTCGATGGAACAATGAATAACTGACCATGGCAGCTTCTAGGCAACATGGACTTGATATGCATGTTCACACAGATCTGTGTAAGGTTATCCCCACTTCATGGATGAGGAAACTGATGCCCATTACTTGCCTAGAGTCCCCAGCCAGTACACAGCAGAGCCAGGATATGAACCAAGGTTTGTGTGATGCCAAAGCCACCTGCTCCGACACCTTCTCATTCCTCCGTGTGTAAACCATTTTCACATTGGCTACTAATTCTAACTCCACCAGAAGTGGTGGAAGTGGACTGCTGCCTCAGACTTTGCAGGCAAGGGGGCAACCCAGCTGGTGGTTAACTAAGAACATCACTGTCAACTCAGGCTGAGAGCAGTAGCTGACTGACACTGGCCCAACTTTTGCGACAGGTCCCCCTTCTGTTACCATCTCTCATCCCCTCGGCAGTGGCGATAACTATCATTACTTTTTCTTTTACTCCTAATTCCTACTTAGGTGACACTTTATAGCTCAGATGTGTGCTGGTTCTCTACCCAAGGACAAATGACTTGTCCACAGTAGATGACCAGCCAGCAGGGGCTTCCCTGTCTTCTATGTTTCTGTCCCTCACATCAGCTAGTGATTTTTTAAAAAAACTTTCTATTACAGAAAATTTCAAACTCATAGAAAATAGAAAGAAGAACATAACAAATGCTCATGTCCTCATCACCCAACTTAATCAACCCTCAGCTCATGGCCAATGGTTCTTCTTCTGTGCCTAAACACTTTGTCCTCCCACTCTGTGGATTATTTCAATCATTTTGAATGAATCTAAGACAACACATTATTTCAGCTGTAAATACTTCAATATGTACCTGTAAAAGACAGGACCCCTCTTTTCCCCCCATTTTTTCTTTGGTGATAAAATACAGATAACATATAAAATTTACCACCTTAATCAGGACCCCCCCCTTTTAAAAACAACAAAATTAATTTTTTTGCTTTTTTTGTTTTTGGCAGCTGGCCAGTGCAGGGATCCAAACCCTTGACCTTAGTGTTATGAAAAAACAACAAAGTAAATTAACAATAATTGCTCAATATATCAAACATCTAGACGGTGATCACATTTCCTCAGTTATCTTTTTTTTTTTGAGCAGCTTTATTGCAATATAACCGACATACAAAAAATTGCACATATTTAAAGTGTCCTTAATTGTCTTATACTTTTGTTTAGTTTGAATCAGGATCTGAATACATTGTGCATAAGCCACAGACATTGAAGAAACATCTGGCACAGATGACCATATGACAAATAAATCATTGAAGACACAAATGTAGAAACTAGTATCAGAGGGTTCTTCTTCCTCTCTCCAATACCTGGAGACACATGGGTTCATTCAATCATTTAACAAATATTTACTGAATACCTACTATGTGTCAGGCACCGTTCAAGGCTGAATGAAAGTCTTTCTTCAACATAAAAGAAGTTGTGCCGAACAGGTAAGGATAATCAGGGAAGCCAATATGCTAGTGTCTGATCTAGCACAGACGTCAGAAAACTTTTTCAGTAAAGGGCCAGAGTTCCTTTATAAGCCAGACAGTCCCTGTTGTAACCACTGGGCTCTACTGTTGTAGTGTGAAAGAAGCCATAGACAATACATTAAAAGAGGGGCATCACCATGTTCCAATAAAGCTTTATTTAAAAAAACAGGTGGTGGGCCAGATTCGGCCCTCAGGTTTGCCGACCCCTGGCGTAGCAAATCACACTTCCCTAGCATCAGCCTCCAGGGTCGGTGCTTGGGTTTGACCATCCTACCCATCTGTCTGCTGCGGAGGGGCAGGACTGAGGTGCATAAAATTGATACTGCTCGTTGAAGAGGTAAGTGAAGAAAACCTGGAAAGTATAAAGGAAGTTTTATACTCAAGTTCTCTTACCATTCCGATAGTGTTGAAACCAAGGCAGTGTCACCCAGGCAGAAACGAGTTCTCCCAGCTCAGCCCGAACACGTAAGGAGACATTGAAATGCATAGGGAAGCCCTTTGTGAGGCCGGCTGCAGTGAAGTCACACTTGGTTGCTGTGATCTGCATACAGTTCACCTCTAAAAACTTGGTGTCGCACCACTGACTCTCAGGGCTGGAAAGGAAAAACAGGATTTTAATTCACAGAGTTCTCTCTGCTTCATGCACACTAGTTTCCCCAGAACTGATTCTTTAAAAAAACTTTTTTGAGATACAAGGATACTTCAAAAAGTTCGTGGAAAAATGACATTAAAAGATAACAAGAATCTTTCCATGAACTTCTTGAAGACCCCCTTGTATAATTCACATACTGTATAATTTACCCATTTTAAAGTACAATTCAATGGTTTTTAGTGTATGTACAAGGTTATGCAACCATCACCACAACCAATTTTAGAACATTTTCATCACCCCAAAAACAAACCTGGTACCCATTAGCAATCACTCCCCATTTTTCTTCATCCCCATCTGCATCTCCCCGAGCCCTAGGCAACCACTAATCTACTTTCTGCCTCAACAGATTTCCCTATTCTGAATGGAATCATACAATACGATCGCTCTTTTGTGACTGGTTTCTTTCACTGAGCATGTTTTCAAGGTCCATCCATGTTGTAGCACGTATCAGTACTTCACCCCTTTTAATGGCCAAATAATATTCCCTTGCATGGATAGATCACATTTTGTTTATCCTTTCATCAGTTGTTGGGGTATACAGTAACTCTATGTTTAACGCTTTGAGGACTTGCCAGACTGTTTTCCAAAGTCGCTGCACCATTTTATATTCCCACCAATAATGTATGAGTTCTAATTTCTTTACACCCTCACTGATACTGAATATTATCTTTTAGATTAGAGCACTCCCGGTGTGTGTGCAGTGGTATATCATTGTGGTTTTGATTTGCATTTCCCTGATGAATATTGATGTTGGGTATCTTTTCATGTGCTTATTGGCCATTTGTATATTTTCTCTGGAGAACTGTCTAAATCCTTTTTCTATTTTTTAATTGGGCTATTCATCTCTTAATTGTTGAGTCATGAGAGTTCTTTATATATTCTGGATATGAGTTCCTTATTGGACATATGATTTGCAAATATTTTCTCCCATTCTATTCCACAACTGATTTTAATGCTTTGAACTCGGTCTCTGTAGCCTATGTCTTAGGAATGATACTGTGTTAATGCAAACTCCACCCATGTGTTCTGCTGGTTTGGAGTTTGTTTTCACCCCATAGCTGCCCATTTAAAAAGGGTTTGCCTCACCCATATGAAAAGCTTGCTAAATATGTGGCCATACATCCCTGTGACAGTTCATTTCCCAGAGTCCTCATACCACACCCCCTCCATGGGACCGTAGTCCCCAGCTCTGACTGCTGTCCTTGTCTTATGTGACAGTCTTCAGAAAAGCCACAGAGGTGGCTGCTAGGAGCCTGAGTGGGGACAGTGGAAAGTATCCCCTTTAGGACAGCAACTCTGGCCTAGAAAGCAACAGATCCCTGCCTGTCCCCACTGCCACCAGCTTTCATACACCACGCATGCTTCTAAGTGTACCTCTGACCCTGACTGAGATGAATCATCTATCAAAGTGGCAAGTGACAAGCTGGAAGACACTTCAAGATGCATGGTCAGGACTTCTGTGGAAGATGCCCACCATATACACATACAACCCAGCCCCGGGGTCACAGACTCTAATGGGGAGAGGGATCCCAAACCACAGGCACCTCCTCTCAGATGGGGGTGGGGGGCATGCTCTAGAAGGGGTAAGTGATTTCATTATCAAGGTATACAGATACTTAAAGCTACTTTGACCTCCTCCCTGCTGTTGAACTTGGGTAAAAGTCTCCCTACATCTCAAAGGCTCATTCCCTGATTCACCCAGGAATTAACCACTCGTGTTCGGCCACCTCCCCTCTCCTCCAACCTTGCCACTTTCTCGAATTAATTTTTAAAAATTTCCCAGAAAAGGGCCGGCCCAGTGGTGCACTGGAGAGTGCGCCGCTTGGGAGTGCGGTGGCGCTCCCGCCGAGGGTTCGGATCCCATGTGGAGACTGGTTCCCGCTCACTGGCTGAGCATGGTGCGGGTGCGACACTGAGGGTTGCGATCCCGTTACCGGTCAGTAAAAAAGACAAAAAGGAAAAAAAAAAAATTTTCCCAGAAAAGAGATTTAAGGGGGAATGAGCCATCCAAATTTAAATGACAGCTGACACACGAAGGCGAGCAGTTTGGGAAGGAAGAGTGGCTAAGGAAGCTGCCTCCCCATTTGTTTGCAGAGGGTAAAAACAGGTAATGGTGGTCCCATCTAAGTGAATAATGAAATGAACACAGCCTTAATGTCATGGCAATGCCCATCGCTGGACCCCCAGCCTCTGGCCCTAGAAAGTCATCCTGGCTCCTCCCTGCGATGAGCCATTCTGGATTCCTCTGCTCCAGAACATGTCTCATTTTCAAAGCGACCCTCGTCGTGAGGAGGAGCATCACACAGTGGTTCAACCCGTGGACTCCAGAGCTGATTACCTGGATTCAAATCCCAGTTACCTAACTTCTCTGCTCCTCAGCCTCCTTATCTATAAAGCAGGGTAAACCACAGTATCTGCCTCCCAGAGTAATCGAGAAGGTTGCATGACTGGACATCAGGAAAGCACTTATGCCAGGGCCTGGTGCCCAGTAAGCACCAAGTAAGTACTTCTTAAACAAGCACAACTGTACTTCTACCTTTTGGGATGGGATCTTTGAGTCAGTACTCGGCAAGTCTTCCACAGCTGTCCTCCCTCTTCCTACTCACCCACACTGAGAAGTTCTGGTCCTCTGGCCTGCCCTGCCCTTGCCTTTTGGGACTGAGACCCAGAAGTGCCTGTGGTGGGCTTCCCTTTCAGGAGAGACTCAGTTCAGTGTGATGCAAAGACAGGGCCTCAGGGCCTTGTGCCTGGGACCAGGCGGGGCCTCCCCGATGATACCCTGAGCTCTCCTCTGAGGCAGAACTGAGGTGGAAGCCACCCTTCCACCTCAATCTAAAAGACAGTGAGGCAGCCATCACCCTCCAAGAGCACTGTGAGCTGCTCTTCCTCACATGCAGTGCAGGGCCCTGCTCACTGCCACCCCTGGCCACTGTCCAGTCTCTGTTAGGTCACTTACAAAAATGATAAATAAGTTTTTCCCCTTTGACCCAGCGATCCCTCTTCTAGAAATGTAACAGAACAATCCGAGACGATTTATATATGAGGACATGACTTAATGAGAGTCACAAGCTGTCAACTTGCTACACCCATAGGCAGGGAAAAGTTGCACACGTCATGTGCAATACCTCACATAATAAAACAGAACAAAAATGTTTACACAGAGATAATCCCATGGAAGAAAATGCTCACACCCTTAACAACATTAAGTGAAAAGGAAAAAAAAAATGGAAGCAGGACCCAAAAGTGTAATACAGTTTGTGTTTCGTTTTCACACACACACACACACACACACACACACACACACACACACACACACATTTTCAAATAAGGGCACGCGTTTGAAAAAAAGTCTAGAGAGACATACACTAAAATGAGGATGGTGATTATCCTTCGAGTGTAGGACAAGTGGTTATTTTAATTTTATTCTTTCTACTTTTCTGGGTTCTCCAGATTTTCTATAAAACATGTATTGCTATTAAAATCAGGAAAAAATAAAATAAAATAAAGTTTTTTGAGAAGACTGGGCTCGCGGGTTTAAGAGTGAGCTTGCCACAGGCCAGATGAGTATGAACTGGGAAGGGGTCTGCTGCTGACTCTGCATTTTCAAGGAAAACCTCAAACCAGGGTTCGGATCTTTTTTGTTTGTTTGTTTTAAGTAAAATATCTAGATTTCTGAGTGTTAACAACTAATTGAAAAAAAAAAAATACTGGGGGCTAACAGCCTGTAGGCCACTATCTGCAACCTGTGACTTAAACTTTAACTTCTCCCACAAAGCACTCCATGTAATTTAATTTTGGCTTTGCTACTGTGACTGTCAAAAAAAACCCCAAAAGCAAAAAAACACAAACGCACCATTATTTACAATTATAGTAATGCTTTACGGTAGAGAAATAGAATGGAAAGTTTAAAATTAATAAAAAGTGCCAAAAGTAAAGTATCTAAAAGCAAAACAAAATCAGCGTCCGTCTTCCACCGTGAAATCTACACGGGGGAAAGAAAACAGCATTAGCCTCAGTTTCAGCTTTTAGTGACCCCTCAACTTTTTCTAACAGGGGCATTCACTTCACCTTCACCTCTGCTACTTTTACTAAAACCAATCTCTATCCCTGAAAACATCTCTACGAAATGCTTTCTGAAAAGAAAACAAAGTGAAACATGTTAGTCTATGATATGAAATTCTGTCAAAGGCTTTTTAAAAAATTCAATGAAGTTTTTTCTAATATTTAGAGGTGCAGTGCCTCTGTCAACGCACAAATGTACTTCCCCGTTCAAGACTAAGGAACGCTGGTCAATAAACCAGCTGTGACTTCCTCTTACAGAGATCCTCGCATTTAGCTCTAGGATGTTGTGTTTACTGTATACCGAGTGTAGGGCCAACTTCACAGCACGTGACCTGTGTGGTCCCTGAAGACCCCACTCTTAGAAGTGTATTTGGTTTGATGCTCTGAGGCCGCAAATTCTGATATATATTTTTTTACCACTACTCTAAAGATGAGGAACAAATTCTGATATATTTTTGAGTAGGGGCCCCACATATTCATTTTGCACTGGGCCCTATAAATTATGCAGCCAGTCCTGTCGGATTGTTCCATTTAGGTAATTTAAAATTACTAGAGGAACAGATAAATGTGATTTGAGATAACTCTCAAACCCCAGTTTAGGGCCGGCCCCGTGGCGCACTCAGGGAGAGTGCAGCGCTTGGGAGCACAGCGGCGCTCCAGCCGCGGGTTTGGATCCTATATAGGGATGGCCGGTGCGCTCACTGGCTGAGCGCGGTGCGAGCGACACCACGCCAAGGGTTGCGATCCCCTTACTGGTCACAAAAAAAAAAGGACAAAAAAAAAAAAAACCAAACAAAAAATCCCCCAGTTTAGCATCTGTTCAGCAAAGATTGTTAGAGTGGATGCTTAAGGATGAAAATGAAGTCATTTGGAAACCCACTCTAACAACTCAACGGCCTGTATTTTTTCCATGTTCCCTTCCTGTTCTTGACCATAAATACATTCCAAATTTTACACAGTTGCAACTTCTACCAGATGACATATAAATATCTTTTTGGTGGTTAACTAATAGTTCAATCATAAGTAAGCTTGCCATAATTTGCCCTGTCTCTACTAATGGATATAAATATAAACTTCAATGTATATGTTCATAGAATAGTTTTTGTTTTTTTTTCTGATGGGCAGATGGTTGGATTATCTACTTAAAAATAGCATGGACATTTCCATGATTCTTTAAATGCTTAGTAGAATTACTTTCCAAAAGGGCTATGCTAATTAATTGTGCAACAGGTAGCATGTGAGCATATATCAACCACATTCTCACAAGTGCTGAATGTTACCATTTCTTTACATTTTGTTTATTTAACAGTATAAAGTGATAGCCAATAATTTTACCTTAATCTTTACTTAACCTATTTAACAAGGTAAACAAATAATAACTGAGGACTTAGGTTTTGCCTGTCTTCTTTCTATATGTGTTTATATTACAAATCAAGTGTTGGCCACCTCTGAAAAATCTTGAAAAGAAGGTGAGAGATAGAATGAGGGGGCCAGAATAATATACAAAATGGAAAACCCATTGAGAAGCTGAGAATTCATTGTAATTAACTGATTACATTTCTAAAAGCTGCCTCTTGTCTTTCCAAGAACGGAAACCATTTTTTTTAACAACCCTCCTCCTGAAACCAATAAAAGAATACATTTTCAACAAATCAAGAAGCCATGTGGTTGGTTAGACAGCAGAGTTCTCTGACAGCAGCACTGTCTAAGCCTTGAGATGAGTGGGAGGCTGTGAAATCTCTGTCCTTGGAGAGTTTAAAAGTACAAGAGGCTTCCCACGGATTTGATTACAATCCTGCTAAGAGGCAGTAACTAGTAGCTGGCCTATGGTTCCATACGACTCCCCCTCAAATCTCAGCAAGGACGTCAACAGAAACATCTGGCTTACTATTTATACTGCACCCGGTAGACCACCGGCCTCGTGTCATTGCGCAGGGACACCGGCTCCCAACTCAGAACCTGCTCGGCATTGTATAGGTGAATCTTTGGGTGTTCAGGAGCAGGAAGCTGGGAAAGAGAGTCTTGAAAGGGACAGAGAATAAGGAAGGGGGAGGGGAGGGAGAGAGGGAAAGGGAGAATGCAAAAGAGAAGAAAAATCCATTACAAAAATATTTCAATGCACATTACCAAAGTCATTCATACGACTCAGTTTTTGTCAACGTGCAGAAATGGTATTATCAGTTCTCCCTGGGCATCCCCTTCCGCCCCCAACCTTTGACTACAAGATGGCACTATAGACACAGTCAGTGGGAAAAAAGATGTACTTGGGGCCACCTTTCCACCTGCAGGTTCCTGTTGTTAAAAACAGGTCCTGGGCACTAGCATCTGGCCGGACTGGGAACCCAGTTCTACCATTAGTAAGTGTGTTTGACTCTGGGCAGGTTATTTAACCTGTCTGAGCCTCAGTTTCTTCTTCAGGAATAAGGGATCAATAATAGTACACCCTGTAGGGCTGTGGTGAAGGTTCAATTGGTGGCATGTGACATGCATTAGCCCTAGATTTGGTACAAAGGGAGTGTTTGGTAAACCTCCACAAACACATGTGCACACACGTGCACACACACAAACTTCCCAAATCAGGCATACAAAGCCCAAAGGTACAAAGGAGGGCGAGAGCTGTCTTCTAGGTTTCATCACAGTTGCCCTGTTTCTCAAAGACCCCAGCGTCACAATCACTGGGTATCTGGTTAAAATGCAGATTCCGAGGCCCCACTCCAGACCAGGAAATCTGCATTTTAAACACAGTTTCCAGCTGATTCTTATGCACTTTACAGGACTGGGCCAGAAATTGAAAGCATGGGAGCCTTTTCTCTAGAAATAAAGCAAAATAACACTTTCTCTGGTTGAGAGATTAAGGAGAAACTCCTAGAAGGTAAAAAGAAAAGTTCAAAAAACACGCTGTTCCAGAATTCAAAGCAGGAAATTCAAACCACACATTTTCGGTAAATGTATCTGACCTTGAAGAACAGGGCTCAGATCAGCCAATAGCCTGGCTGCCAGCTCTTCTAAAAGACACATTGCTAAGGGTCTGTGGCCACATGTCTACTTACATAATGCCCATTGTCTCCACATCTATGAGCTCTGGCTGACCTTCATTCTGGATCCTTATTCAATCAGCTAACCAACACTTCTGATTCACGCCAGGCCTCACGACAACCCAGGCCAAAGGCAGACAGGCAAAGTCACGTGGCTGGAGGCAGACCCATCTAGCACGCTGTGGCTGCTGTGACGTAGCAGTTTCCAAACTGGAGCTGAAACCTGAAGGCCTGACACAGGGAGGACTGTGTAGAGCCCCATGGGGTGAGTGCTTGATTAGGGCTGGGCATGCACCAAAGAATCTCACAGACTTCCTTTTACTGCCTGTATTAGGTTCCCATTTCTGCTGCAACACATTACCACAAACCTAGAGGCTTGGAACAACCCAGATTTATTATCTTACAGTTCTAGAGGTCAGAAGTTTCAAATAGGTCTCACTGCCTAACATCAAGGTGTCTGCAGGGCTGCGCTTCTTCTGGAGGCTCCCAGGGAGGACCTGTTTCCTTGCCTTTCCAGCTTCCAGAGGCTGCTCACCTTCCTTGGATTGTGGCCCCTTCCTCCAGCAATGTAGGGCTGAGTCCTTCTTGGGCTGCCACCTCTCTGGTGCCTCCCTTTTCCATCTTTCAAGGACGCTTGTGATTACACTGGACCCACATGGCCCAACAATCCAGGATCATCTCCCCACATCGGATCCTTAACTGAATCAAATCTGCAAAGTCATGTCATTTCCTGGGGATTAGGATGTGGACATCTTTGGGGACCATTATTCTGCCTTCCCCACTGTCCCTTCACCACCTCCCATCTCTGGGGAGAAACCAGCAGGAATAGTTTCCCTCTTCACTGTCCCCCTCCTGACACCCCCTTCTCTCCAATTAAACATTTCGCTGAGAAAGGAAGCACAAGGCACCAGGGGTGACAAGGAAGGGCTTCCTCCCCACGACTGACATGTGGAGCAGCAGAAAGACATCTCTGCCAGAGGCGGAGCTTCCAGACCAGCCTTCCACGATCTTCAACTTTCATTTTCCTGAGGTGTGAGAGGGACCCACACAATACGTGAGTTTCTTGGAATCCCCTATCTCACCACATTCACAGGAGAGAATGAGCCTCAGAGCTGTGGACTCCTCAGGGAAGTGCCAAAAACTGCCCATTCAATGAGAAGCGCTTTATAAAACTGCCCTCTTCACACCTCAGAAGGCCTGTCCTCACACAGCCTCACCCTTCCAGTTCCAGCCACATGGCCCCCTGGCTGCTCCTGGGCCACGCTGTGCACACTCCCTCCTCGGGACCTCACACTTGCCTTGCTGTTTCCTTTCTCCTTATACCACCGATCTCTCCCCCACTCCCTTCAGATCCCTGCTCAGGAGCTTCCTTATCAGATAAAATATCCAGAGCAGAGGGTAAAGTGAAAACCACCCTCCAGACTCCCTGTTTTTGGCTTTGACTTTTCTCCAAGGTACTCTTCACACCTGAGTCCTTTATTTGCACCAGTTAGGAGCATGAATTCCAGAACTAGACTGCCTGGACTCAAAGCCTGCGTTTGACACTACCTTGTTGTAGGTCTCTGGGCAAGATATTTGTGCCTCAGTTTTCTCATCTGTAAAATGGGAATGGTAACAGTACATCCTTTGTAGGGTTGTTATGTGAAACAAACGAGTTAATTTTATGTGCAGTCCTGGCACCCGTAAGCACTACATGATCATTGCCCCTGCTCATTTCTTGCGGCTTACTTAACAGTCTCTCCTGGGAGTCTAGAGCAGTGAGCCCTGGGAAAAAAGGTGGTGCTGGATTTGGGGCTGTTTCATCCCCAGTGTTTGAAATGTAGGCATTCGAGACTTGGTGAATGAATGGTGTCCTTAGCTTTGCTTTCATCCACTAGAAACGCACAAAGCTCAGGCCCTCTTTCCCCTTCCACCTAAAACTTTCCCTTTTCTTTGGTCTCAGAGGCTGGCGCAGAGGGTGGATGGACAACTGTGGACCATGACTTATCTGGATGGCTCTTAAGAGTCAATATATTCAGGGCCATATACCTGCTGTCAAGGTGCTGACAGAGGCTTGTGGGAAGAGAATAGGATTTACAGACAAAGGGTCTCAGCTGGAATCCTGATCCTTCCACCTACAGCCACAGAATCCTGCCAAGTCCCCACCTGAGCCTCAGATTCCTCATAAAACTCTCCCAAATGCAAGACCATAAATGAAAGGCAAACTGGACCCTGTTGTCTAAGTGTCATTTTTAAGATGTGAGTATTTCAGGGTGTCCTGATTCCCCATGAATGGCTGCTTCTGCAAGAGCCGAACAGCAACTAGCTCCCCAGACCCCGCCCTCAATGACCACCAACAGGTGGCCCCGTGCCAGGCACAGTATTCAATAGTTCCCTCCTGGTCATAGGCAGAATGGTGGCCCCCAAAGATGCCTCCTGTGAATATACTGGGTTACACAGCAGGGGGAAATTAAGATGGCAGATGAAATTTAGGTTCCTAATTAGATGACCTTAAAATAGGGAGATTATTCTGTAATATCTGATAGGACTAACGTAATAACAAGGGTGTTTCTCTAGAAGCTGGCAAAGGCAAGCGAATGGATTCCCCCGGCTGGCACCTCTAGAAAGGAACGCAGTCCTGCTGACACCTGGACTTTCACCCAGTGTAACCAACATCAGACTTCTGACCTCCAGAACTGTAATATAATAAATTGTTGTTTTAAGCCACTCAGTCGGTGGTCATTTGTTACAGCAACAACAGGAAACTAACACAGTCCCCATAGGGGGCCACCAGGGCTTCAAAGACACCCCAGCTCCTATAAGATAAAAGTTCACAAACCTTAAGAGGGTGTACAAAGCTCCACTCTACCTTCTCCATGGTCTTTGGGACAATGACTCGTAAACTATTAATGGTAAGAAGAGATAAACTAGGTGTAATGACATGTGACCTTGGCACCCCACAACCACAGCTCCTACTATCCCTCCTTCTGTCCCAGCCCATACCTCTGATCCACCCTGGATCCAGGCATTTGACACTTCATACATATTTAAGAATAGAATATGCTGGGTCTTACCAGCATAGTTTGGTTAACACACATCACACACAGATAATAAAATAAAATACAACTAACATTAAATTAATCATTTAATCTTGACAACCAAGGACCAGCCCTTCAGGATCGTTCTGTGTGGGGGGCATTATGATGAAAATCAATGATAATGAACATCAATCATCTCAACTTCAACACCCTGCAGGTGAGGAGAAGTAAAAAACCATTCCCAAGATGCTCTCTTCAGTAAATACTAGAAATCATGTTATTTACCTAGATAGTTTGTCTCTTCTTACAAAGAACGGTTTTCCTTTCTTGGGAATGAAATGGAGATATTATCTACTGCAAAATAATGGTTGAGAAAATTAAGAGAGATAATGTATACAAAGTGCTTAGCACCTTGTCTGACCTAGAATAGTGGCTGAATAAATGGTGCTGTGATTATCACTGATAAAGTTAGCCAAAAACATTCCAGCTACGTGACAGTTTCAATTGCTAAGATTAAAGACAAACAGGAGTTTAGTAATGTACATTCGTTTGCAATGGTTTTTATGTTATTGGGGCTTTACTGTCTTTCTCAGTGGTCTCTAAGCACATTAAAACCTTTGGATATTCAAGTCAGTAAATAATAGTAATAAAATTCTGTTTCACAAGTACACATCCAATCCACTGGAAAAGTAAGCAGCAGCTACTACAATTACAAGCAGAAGCCTTAATTCTTCAACACTCAGGTAATTAACTAAAGAGTCAGTTTGCACTTTTGTGCTGTTGATTACATTTTCTGTCTACAGCAAATGGCCACCAATTAACAAAACACTGCTACAAACTGTGTCAGGTCCAATATTTTATATTTGCTACCCTTATAACAACTGTAAGGGGTAGATATTGTAAGTCTCTCTTTTAAAAATCTATTTCTAGCCATTGCCGCAGCCATCATGCTGAAATGAAAGAAGCAGAATCAGCAGCAGCTGGCACTGCTGGAGCAGGAAGAGACTGGAGGTGGGAAGGACGGTGTCCCATGGGACCATCCAGCCCTCTAGGCCCTGCCCCCAAGGCCAAAGGAAAGCCCAACGACCCCACGTCAGCTCTTCACAGGGGTCCTCCAAGATCAAGGGCACTGAGGATTCCACCACTTCTCAGTCCCCCACCTCCTTCCTGGGATAGAGGCCCAATTTGGGAAGGCTTCACCCAGGTCTGGCCCATATGGTCGCTGTTGGTGGGGGATCAACACTGAACCTCCTTTTCCAGGGCCAGGCCATGGGAGTCCCTCCAGGAAACGCTTTCACAAAGAGCAGAGAAACCCTCAGAGGCTCAAAAGCTGGTCTCTTATCAAGAATACATGTCCACCCGAGGGTGACCCCCAGGTTAGGGAAGAAAAATCCACTCACCCTGTCTGCTGACACTTCCAAAAAGGGCCACTGTCGATAAGAGGATCTCTGTGCCTTCTACCACCCATGTGTCAAGGGATCTCCTCTATGACTGTGTCTTCCCATCCAGGCTGGAAGGAGCCCTCTGTGACCAAGTGACCATGTATGTCCCTGTGGCCCTGTGATGGCTACTGCGAGGCTCTTCCACCCAACACCCTCAGCCGCTAACACACCCACCCTCATCTGTAATCTCCCCCGTTTGGGGTCCAGAGTTGCATTTTGTCACTGGGGCGTTGTGTGCACGCTTTCTTCTGGCCCAGTCTCCAGAGACTCACCTTTGGGACCCTGTCTTTGGTCCCTTCATTTGCCTCCTGGATATCCTCCCCCCTTGCCTGTGACTGCTGAGCAGGACACCTGTTTGGTGCTGCTTCTTGTGCACCTGTCCACCTGTCCCCCAGTACTGCCCTTGGTTCCTGAGAGCCCTGGAGCGGTTTGCAGCCATTCTCTTTTTCTAGCTGCTTGTTTCAAGTCCTTCTTATGTGACACCCCCTATCCCTGATACTGTCAGCTGCTCGTGGAACTCACCAGGTTGTTTGATTTGGGGTTAAGTATGGGTGACACATACAGTTACTCCCTGAAAG